TTCTACTGTCTACACAATCACAATAAAGTCACACAATCATAATAACGTCACCACTGAACCTTCTACTGTCTACACAAATTATGATCTCAGTGGAGACTTTTTGTGTAGACAGTAGAAGGAGTAGAAGGTTCAGTGGAGTCTTTATTGTGATTGTGTAGACAGTAGAAGATTCAGTGGAGACTTTATTATGATTGTGTAGATAGTAGAAGATTCAGTGGAGAGTTAGTATGATTGTGTAGACAGTAGAAGGTTCAGTGGAGTCTTTATTATGAAGTCTACACAATCATAATAAAGATCCACTGAACCTTCTACTGTCTACACAATCATAATAAAGACTCCACTGAGCCTTCTACTGTCTACACAATCACAATAAAGACTCCACTGAACCTTCTACTGTCTACACAATCACAATAAAGACTCCACTGAACCTTCTACTGTTTACATAATTGTAATAAAGACAGATACTTTTGAACACTGCTGTATTCAATGTGGGAATTAATATCTTATTGATCATCATTGAAGCCTAACAGTGATATTAGTAAACTATTATAAAATTACAAATTTACTGTTTATAATTAAAACAAGTAGCTGTGAATTTTTATTGATATAATATATATTACATATATAGGATTTTTCGTCTGGATTTACTGAACTCCCAAGCAATACATTTTTTTGTAAAGTGACATTAAATTTATATAACAGTTATAAGTTTAAATAGGGCAAGCTAAATGCATGTTTTGTTTTTTACAATAGGATTTTTTATACTTTAACTGCTTTCTACGATCCGCTTTCTGGTGGCTCAGCTGTGTGGTATTCTTGGTTCAAACCGATTTCCCAACAATTCTTTCCAATAGACGTGCCTGTGAATAACAACAGGTTCTGCCCAGTGATTTATGTGAACGTTCCGTGAGGAGGATTCGACTGCTTCTTTGGAGTTAGTTTGAAAAGAGCATAGATAAAAAGAGTTTGGACACTTCAAATCTTTAGTTAATATTAACACAAAAACGCTGAATATTGAACGCGTACCTAACACAGTTCCTTATGAGTAGAAAGAGTTTAGTGTCGCAGCTTTCTCTTTCGTAAGATGGACCTCTGTAGGTCTACACACATGGACCTCAAAAATAGGTCTTCTTTCTCGATCGTATAGCGAAAAATAGCTCTTCTTTTCCTTCCCTCTGTTTATCTCTTTTTTTCTGCAATTCTTTTCTGTTTCCGAAGCTACTCAAGTATTATTGACCACAATTTTATAAAGGGTTTTAGTGTATATTTTTCTCCCAAGCCTGTATATTATTATGCTTTCTTGTACCACACTAACAGTTTCATCTGTTTTTTAAACCACTTTTAACCAGTGTTACAACAATCATGAACTGTAAATATGGATCACTGAAGACAGTATTGGTAACTATATGGTAATCTACATATAAATAGAGATATTTGAGATATTATGTGTGGCTTTGTTCATTAAAGCAGAAAACAGTCAAATAGTTTAACTCAAAAATGTTTTGATCCTATAAACACACAAAAGATATAAATAAGACATCTCCTTACTGACTGGCTTAGCCGATAAGGTGGAGTTGTCTTGTAATGTTCTTCCTGGGTACCTGAAGGGCACTGGACGAGTCCATTTCTATGTCGGCCATAAGAAATCCTACACTGGCCTTTCTGACCAGTCTGTCCACTTGTATAAGGATAGCACTGCTCTGATGTCAGCCTAAAATAATCGTAAAAAGATGACCAGTTAAACACTGTGATTTGGCAGAATAGATGAAGCTACGAGATTGAAATCGAAGTATATAATGACAATAAAAAATGACAGTATAGTGCGTGTACAGAAAGGAAAAAATACAAACACAGTAAATTAACGTTAAGATGATTTCTCTCTCTCCAGGTTCTGAATCGAGGGCGATCCTGTCCCTCTAATTACAGCACTTCCAATTTATAATTTATACAATGATTTTATTAAAATAAAAGTTTTGACCAAATATAATATGTTGAATGAAACAAAAAGACATTTCTTGGAGTTATAGCATACCCCTGCTTCCTCATGAACCACCAGGCTCTGTCTGTGTGCCCTCCTTTACACCCTTTTTGCCCTCTAGAGTTACAAGAGATAAGCTGCTGAGGTGACAGTGCTACTGTCACTCGGCCTTTTGACTGGATACTCCATCGATCAGATGCTAGAGCTGTAGGGTATAACCGTAATGATTTAGAACATAAGGTGTTCCAATTCACAAACAACAATGAGAAATATGATCGTAATTGTTTATAACTATCAATATCTGTGAATAAATTGGCTATTTACACACACACAAACGTACGTCAGATGAATAAAGCAGAAAAATAAAATGCCTGTATAAATATTAAAGTTAAGTAAGCCACAAGAAAGAGTGTTTTTAATATTTAACATAAATATCAAGTAGATTCTATAGATTGTCACATAAACAACAACAACAATTTATTTGCTAATAATAACTATTTGTCACGTATTACAAACACTGACCACTTTCTATACCTATTGTAAGCCAATGGGAACACCCAACAAATCATACCTGCAGTTGAGAAGGCCCACGAGGAGCCACAGTCACCTTGGTCGTTGATTTCTTGAATCATTCCCGGCCACTTCTCTCGAGAGTCGAATCTTTCCGGAAGAGGTCGATGATCCATTATGTGTATCTCGTTCATGTGAACAGTCTGCACAATGAAAAAATATGGTATTGCGTCCACTAAACATCATTTAAAGTGGCACGAAATGTGTATGAATGCATGCTATTGTAAATTTAGTAGTGACGAAATTCAATCTTAAACAAGTACATATTGTGCTATGTCAAACTAGTATTTAAATCTGATCATGATTATACGACAGTTTGTGATTGATATTGTGGCATATGAAATACTATGTGTTTTTTTTTTACCTCCTTGTATAAAAGTAGAAATTTTTCAAAATGTATGCAGTTTCAACATGACAAATTGGTCAAAAATGTTGTTAAGTTCCTTTTTGTGCTAGCGACTTGTTATTTGTCATTCACCGTGGTTGTCATCTTTGGTCTTGCCATGGAAGAGGTAACTGCGAGATCACTTATAGTATGCGAAGTTATAGACAGTTATCTTTTCTACTGGCAGTAAGGTGAAGTTTTGAGGCAATGACCTTTCTCATATTTCACTGGGAATGACCAGAACGTGAGTGGTGCTAGTCACTCTTCGTGAGTATGATGTTAACGACGTAAGTAAGCAGCATGAGATTTATTCTGGAGATCAACCAAGTTAGTCTTGTCTGTGATCTGAAATAGAACATCTTCAAACCTAGCTCTCCAGTAGAAACAACTGTTCATTGCTTATAAGGTAAGATATATATTTTCAATGTGTTTCTTATTAATAAAGACTATTTATTCTGATTGTACGTTTGTGTTTAGTCTCTGTTTATTTCTCACGAATTAAGTCAGTGAGAGGATATAGAATTATTTTGCAGTATATATCTTGACGAATCTCCCGTTATTTAGCAGACCTGTCTTTTCACTCTTAGAAAAATAATTTATATCTGAACATACCCCATTTCAACACTCAATGTTCTAAATGGTAGAAATGTTTATGAGTGATATAACACTCATTATTATGGATAGAGTAAGTTTTAGTGAGTGAGGTAATACTCACTGTTCTGAATGGTATAAAAATGTAAAACTGTTGTAACCCTGATGTTATAAGTGTGAATAATATAACATTTAATATTACAGATAGTATGTGTGCCGGTGATGTAAAATGTAATATATTATATGATATAAAGATTTGTTACTTATATAACTGAATGTTATTAATTTGCAACATTTGATATTGTGCAAATGTTGTTAGCTGCTTAACTTTTGATTTTGGTTTAGCATAGTGATTCTTACCTTGCCATATGGTTTAAATGTTCCCAACCGATACAGAATTCCATCTTCAAGTGTCCGCCCCCAAAAGAAGGAGTAGTTGGAAGCCTGCCATCTGTTTACAAATAAAAGAAACAAACTATTTAGTTATATTTCATATTTTTCTGTAAACTTTTGACAGTCGTGACTGTTTATTAACATCCGGAGAGAACTCATAATGTTTTCCAAAGTCGAAATTTTAATTAGTACTGCATACAGTAGAGGTAATTTTTACAACATTTTTAATCAGTAAAATATTTTGCGAAACGTTGAGCTGATAACTAATATAGAGACTAGTCTTGCCCGACTCGTCAGAAAATGACAAGTTGGACGTTTAGATATTAGATGTCAACCAGCAGAAAAAGTCAAAATTGTTGAAGTATGCCCGGTTTATATATTTCATGCAGTTGTCTTGTTCAAGTGGCTCTGTGTTAAGTGGAAGATTTCACAAATCTATCGATATTTCACACGTGTTTTTGTAATTACGGCATATAACCTACGAATTATGGTTTAAACACCGAAAGAAGACGAAGCCCCTAAAAACAATAGGCCTATTATTTACGACAAAATTCTATTACAAAGATTAAATCTAAAAATGAATTTCAAGAACCATCTTTAGTTAAGACTAATGGCAATACGTTTGAGAGAAAGAAATAAACAAATATTTTTATTCAGAAAAGTAGTAAAACAAAAATGAAAACTTCGCGAAATCGTAATAAAAATGTACAAATTATGGTCTCTAACTTAAATGTTTTCAATACTCGCCAAGAACTTCGAAATGTTTACGTCAAGCTAAGTATGTGCACAAACTAAAATGTAAAACGATCTAAATGAATAAAATTTCAGCTAACCCCTGTGAACGTTCGAAGTGTTATATACATATTTATGACAACAATATCAGGTCATAATTTTGTTGCTAAGCGATACAGACGAACGGAAAGTGACCAAAAGGCAACTGGCTTTTATATTTATTAGATATGAGACTTTTTCCAAATATACAAGCATGAAAATTCTCATACATTTTCTACTTAAGGACATTGAACAATGATTTTTTTTAAGGTCAAATCCCCCCTCTTTGGTAAACTATATACAGGGATAAAGATAATTCAGAAAAAAAAGAAAACCTTTTCCACCGTTCCTGAAAATACAGAACTTGTGAAAGTGTTGTATATACATAAAATACAAACTAGTATTTATATAATCAAAGCTTTCGTATTTAACTTGTTCATAAACATATTAGAATAAAGAAGCTAAAAAATTTCCTAAACAGATGCCTTTAACCTGGACAGACACTGAACCATAAACTCAAAGAAACTTCTTGTAGTAGAAAAAAAATAGAAATATTTCTATAATATTTGTAGGTGGAAAAGGTTTAGGATTATTATCGTATATGAACAATCTTGTGTTAAATCTATTGCTTCAAAAACCTTGGTAAAAAGTGAATTGATGGTACTCCTATGTGACAGTCCATACACATTAGGTGTTATAGAGCCACGTGAACTTAAGATTTGTATATCAATTTTTACTTTTATAACTCTAAAACGAACGTTGTATATCAGTTTTTACTTTTATAACTCTAAAACGAACGTTATATATACATTTTTACTTTTATAACTAAAACGAACGAACTAAGTTTATATTTTCTACATGTAAAACGCGTTGTTGCGTCAGCGAGTCACGTGACCGCTGTGGCGCCCTCTAGTTTCTAGAACTATCTTGTTCTTTCGGGAATGCTCTAGTAATTGCTCAATGTACCTCGAT